CCTTCTCCATGCTCCCTGGATAGAGAGGCACTGCTAAGCGCCTCTCCCCACCCAAGTCAGAGGCCTTCTTCATTCTTCTCCATGCTCCCTAGACAGAGAGACACTGCTAAGCACCTCTCCCCACCCAAGTCAGAGGCCTTCTTCATCCTTCTCCATGCTCCCTGGACAGAGAGACACTGCTAAGCACCTCTCCTCACCCAAGTCAGAGGCCTTCTTCATCCTTCTCCATGCTCCCTGGACAGAGAGACACTGTTAAGCGCCTCTCCTCACCCAAGTGAGAGGCCTTCTCCATCCTTCTCCATCCTCCCTGGATAGAGAGGCACTGCTAAGTACCTCTCCCCACCCAAGTGAGAGGACTGGTTAGCAATATCCTACATTGTCCCAAAGCCTGGGGCGAAAAAGAGATGGGGAAAGATATTTAGAGTGCCTAGGTGCCAGATACTTTCATAACCATTACCCGATAAAAAAGAAAAATAAAAGATTTCTTCCTTGTTTTGTAGATAAGAACACTGGAGCTTAGAGAGGTTATAAACCTTGTCCAAGGTCAAACACCTAGTAAGCAAATTAGGTAAAATTTGAACCAGGTCTGGGTGAGGCCCAATCTGTTTTACAATATCAAGATGTCTCCCTATCACAAGAAACTTCATGTATGAGCACAAACGGCCCGTTTATGCCGTATCTTTCAGCGCCTAGCAAAACATCTCAACTTCTTTTTTTTTGAGTCGTGTAGCCCTTTATTATCAACTAAAATAGAAAGTATCTGTCGTACAACATGTGTAGTAATGCAACTTATTAAAGAACTTCCACTCTTCCTTTATGTAGGGCTTGCCAAACTATTCTGAAGGCAGAACATATGTGCATCTCAACTTTTATCCTTACCCCAACTTAAAGAATCCTCATGTTTAGATCTTCTCGTTCATTTGCTCAAATCAATGGAGCTATTTATTCTCAACTGCTGGTAATGGACTTTCCCAACTCAGCATTTTGTGAAAAAAAGTCAAAATACTTGAATTGCTTCATTTCACGCTCATTATCTTGGCTTGCATGTTTTTCTTTTGTTTGTTTGCTTTTAAAAATAGATTCCCAAATCATGACATATTCAGATAAAAAAACAGGATGGAAAGCAATGACACCAATCTGAAAGTCACATGGCTAGAGCACCTGTGTCTGCAGTAATCCCAAATATGAAACTCTTGAGTTTATGAAACAATCACTCATGTGGACTTGATTAGAAAAACAGTAATAATAATAACAATGTCCTAGGACTGTAGACTTGGATTCTATTCCACTCTAACACAGTTAACTCTTTCTGATTCTGTTTCCTCATTATTTAAAATAAGAGTAGACCTCAACAGTTCTTTAAAAATTCCATGATCCTATAGTCAATTGCAACTCAACTGCCTTTCCAGCGAATTAACAATTTAAAATAATCCCACCCTCCCACTCCTTTTTTAATTCCTTTGGTAAAGGCCAAGGACTTATCCGTATCTTCCAGCTAAATGTGCTTTTTAGTGTGACAGAAAATCAAGCAGCAAAGAACAAAGTATAGTCCAGCTAGACAGAGTGATGTACAGTGTTTGAAAAATGGTTAACTTAGAAAGCAACATACCAGTTTGCTTATTTTGGCTGCAGGTATCACCATTCATATCCCCTAAAGGGTAGAGAGAAAAATCAATCTTTTCCAGGAAAGACTGTAATAGAGTAAAGCTTCTTTCCCTCTTGCTTAGCCTGATATTGTATATTCACAAATGAAAATAATTGCGTGGGGGCTATTCCTCAGACATGCCCACAACACCTGCTTTCAAGTTCTTATAATCAGAAAAATTATGTAGTAGACTACCTGGCTAGATCCTTACTCTGGTAACAATAGCTCCATCCCACATGACCTAGGTTTCCTAGTGCAGTTCCCTCGGCATTTCACTCAGTTGCAATAGGCTCAATGGCAATGGGTTTGGAGCCCTGGTTGTCCGTTGGTTAGAGTTCAGCTGCTAACCGAAAGATCAGCAGTTCGAATCCACCAGCCGCTCCTTGGAAACCCTACGGGGCAGTTCTACTCTGTCCTACAGGGTTGCTATGAGTTGGAATCGACTTGACAGCAACAGGTTTGGTTTGGCATCATCCCATCGTTTTCATTTCCCCTCTTCTCACCTTTTATGGATTGAATTGTGCCCCCCGAAAATATGTGTTGTAAATCCTAACTTCTATGCCTGTGGTTAAAATCTCATTTGGGAATGGGCTGTCTTTGTTATGTTAATGAGGTAGGACGAGTGTAGGGTGTATCTTGAGTCAATCTCTTCTGAGATAGAAAGGAGATTAAACAAGCAAGCTAGCAAGCAGAGGTGGGGGAAGAAACACACCAAGCCACATAAAGATCGCACAGGAGCCAAAGCTTGGAAGAGACAAGGACCTTCCTCCAGAGCCGACAGAAAGGGAAAGCCTTCCTCTAGAGCCAGCACCCTGAATTTGGACTTTTAGCCTCCTCAACTGTGAGAAAATAAATTTGTTTGTTAAAGCCCCCCACTTGTGGTATCTGTGCGATAGCAGCACTAGATGACGAAGACACCACCCAACATCTACGAAATTGCTCTGATGTAGGGAGGCACATTGTAAGACGAGAGAGTCTAAATCATTTCCCTGACAGTCTGCTAGGAATGAGCAAACACTAGTCACTCAAAAACCTCATTGACTCCACCTGACTTTCTGGGTTTACTATACGAGTTATTCCTTCAAAATGTCGGCCTGAGAAGCGTTTCAATGCCAGCGTGCAGTTCTTGTGCATGTATTTCTCCACAGGCTCCCTGGACATGGCCGAGCCTATAGGTAGATGTACTAGAGGGGACTCTTTGGGGGGAAACGCTCCCCGAAGCCACTCTTTCTAGCAGATGATCAACCAGCGGACAGCTTCCCCCTCCCATACACACACATCCATCTCTTTTCTATAGCTCCGGCCACCATGTCCAGGGACCATACAAGCAAACATTCTTTGTCAGAAAACATTAGTCACACTAACTATAAAAATCTAACATTATTGCCTCATTTACGTGGACAGCAGAATAATCTTAGTATGGTGCATCTTTATAGAGTGCGTATGACTCAGCTGGGGACTTTGTTAAAATGCAGATTCAGAATAGGCCTGGGATAGGGCCCAAGCTTCTGCAGTTCTAACATGCTTCCATACGATGCTGATGCTGCTGGTTTGCAAACCACACTTGAGAATCAAGGTCCTAGCACCTTTGCCTTCTCCAAATTTGGAGCGTATTTTACCTGAAGGTCTCCTTGTGGCAAACTCAGGATCTCTGGGTTGGGAAAATTCCGCCCTGCACACAGGGGTTGTTTGCTGACGCTTACTGCCGGGCCTCTGGATCCTGCTTCCTACCAGGATCTAGTTGCCAGATTCTTCCTACCTAGGTGAACGACCAGTCCTGGCTCAGCCTCATCGGTCTTGCCTGATGTGCTCTGCCAGTGACCCAAACATCAGTGGTGTGGAGGACTTGCTAAAAACGCAGATTCCTGGGCCTTGTCCCTGAAATTCTGGTACCTTAGCTCTGCGGTGGCTCCAAATATTTGCAGTTAAACAGCCTGGACGATTCTAACACAGGTGATCTCAGGAACTATTCTGAGATTCTAGGGAAGGAAATGCATGAAATCTCTTTGATGGATTGGAGAAATCCATATCCTACGGCTACTGAGAGCACAGAAAGGTGAGAAAAAAGGACAAAGGACTGCAGTATCTGATACTATGACAGAACAAACAATCTCCTCCCCGTTCAGATAACTACTTGAACGCTTTCATGGTTAAATTTCAATATATTCTGTCTTTTTCCTTAGAGAAGTTCCCTCAAAATGTGAAGTATGTCTGTGTATTCTATAGAAAATCCTTTTAATGCAGGTATGATTACAGATACAGTCTGTTAATGATCAAATATCAAGGAAATGGCTACTTGCCCTTCTGACTGAACAAATGAGACGGGTAAGTGTGTGTGGGTGGACATATACGTTTTTAAAAAATATATCCAACAAGACAAACACCGAAGTCAGTTAATAAAAATAAGGAATGGAGATTTTAATTAGTGCCATGGGAAATGGCAGAAGCAAATGTAAAATGCAAAAGTAACTTGACTTAGACCTCTGTAAATAAAATGTCCTCCCTAAGAAGGGTTGCTGTTTGGCTCCTTGGTCTCTGCTGGGGCAGGCGTGGCATCTTGAGGGGCGTCAGCCTTTGTGGGTGCAGTTACAGACGCTGCCACAGCAGCAGTGGTCTCTGCTGGGGCAGGCGTAGCATCTTGAGGGGCGTGAGCCTTTGTGGGTGCAGTTACAGACGCTGCCACAGCAGCAGTGGTCTCTGCTGGAGTGGGGGTGGCTTCTTGAGGGGCGTGAGCCTTTGTCGGTGCAGTTACAGACGCTGCCACAGCAGCAGTGGTCTCAGCTTGGGGGTGTGTGGCTTCTGGGTCTGAACTGGCTGTATGATTGGAGGTGGCCTCAGCTGGACCTGGAATGGTCTCAGCTAAATCTGGGGTGGTCTCAGTTTCAGAGGCTGACATCTCTTGACTGGAGCTGGCATCTGCTGAACCAGGTAGGATGTCACCGTGAACAGGCGTGGTCTCTTCTTCTGTTTCCAATTCCGTTTCCTGACTCTGAACTCCCTCACCTTCTTCTACCATAGCAGGAGGTAGCTGCAAGAAGGTCTGATGCAAAGGAAGACAACATCAATGTGAATGGAAACGAAAAAACACTGTGATTGATAAAGCTAAGCTCTCACATTAACATTACGTTCCTCACAGACACTGTTCACTCCAGAGCTCTTCCCTAAAACACACAACAACTCTGACAACAGTGGCCTGGGTTTCGCTGAGTCCACAGAACATGCCTATCTGAATGTCACAGATTAACGATCAAAGTACATATTAAATCTTTAGAGAGGAAAACTACATGAAAAGAGGCTGTCAGATATTTTAGCAAAGAAATTTGCTGCAACATTTCTGCGAAAAACACAGGCTGATTGGGACTAACTGCCCCATGAGCTCAAGCAAGGACCACCTCCAGTCCAGGAGCTCTGTGGAGGGGCAGAGAGGGAGCAGCAGGAGATAGACTTCTGTCCTCACTCAGATCAGAAAACTGGAGCAGCTCTATGTGCTGGGCTCCCCTGCACCCCACAGCAACCTGGGGCTAAGGCTTGGCTTTTCTCCTTAGGGAATCTGCTGATCTTGTTGGAGACCGAAAAAACAACTTTTTAAGTGCCATTTACAATAGTACCAAAAATACAAACCACTCAGCAATAAAGCTAACAAAGTACGTGTAAGTTTTGTATGCTGAAAACTACAGAACGCCGATGAGAAAATTCCAAGGAGATCTACAAAAATGGAGACATACCATATTCATGGAATGCAAGACTGAATACTGATGTTAATCTCTCCAAATTGATTTATAAATTTAAAATCAAGCTACATAAATCTAAGCTTTTTTGGGGGGGAGGGTGCAGAAATTGACAAGCTGATTCTAAAACGTATATATAAAAAAGCAAAGAAACTAGAAAAGCCAAAACGATTTTGAAAAGGAATAAAGCTGAAGAACTTATTACTTAATTTCAAGATTTACTATAAAGGCACTATAATCAAGGTGATGTGGTGTTGGCCAAACGACACACAGGTCAATGGAACAGAACAGATCCTAGAAACAGACTCATACATACACAGCATACTGATTTTTCAACTAAGACAACAAAGCTGTTCAACAGACAAAGAACAGTCTTTTCAGCAAATGGTGCTGAAACAACTGGATATCCATATAAAAATGAATAAAACTCTATACCATGCACCATATAAGAAAAGTAACTCAAAATGTCTCATAGCTCTAAATGTCAAACAGCAAAGTAGAAAATTCCTAGAAGAGAACATCAGAGAAAATCTTTACAACTTTGGGGTAAGCTAAGATTTTTTAGGACATAAGAAGCATGAATCATAAAAGAACAAATTGGTAAGTTGAACTTCATCAAAATTTAAAACTCTTGGAAATATTCTGTTAAGAAAATAAAAAGATAAGTTACAGACTTGGAGAATATATTAGTAAAACACATATTTAATTAAGGATTTGTAACCAGAATAAATTTAAAAAACTCTCTAAACTCAGTAATAATAAACCAAATAAACCAATATAAAAAATGGGCAAGAAATCTGGACACATCCCCAAAGAAGATGTACCAGATGTCAAATAAGCACACGAAAAGATGCTCAACATCACTAATCATTGCAGAAGTGCAAACCAACATCACGATGAGACCATGACACGCCTACTAGAATGGCTGAAATAACAAGTCCAACTACCCCAAGTGCAGGCAAGGATGCGGAACAACTATAATGCTCATACGCTGCTGGTGGGAATAGAAATGTTACAATCACTTTGAAAAACAGTGTGGCAGTTTCTTAAAAAGTTAATAAAAACGTACCTACCATATTATCCAGTCATTTTACTGCTAGGTATGTACCCAAGAGAAATGAAAGCGTAAGTCCATACAAAGACTTGTATAAGAATGCTCCCAGCAGCTTTACTGAAATAGCCAACAACTGGAAACAATGCAAATGTCCCTCAAGAGACGAACAGGCAAACAAATTGTGGCACATCCATACAACCGCACACTAAACCAAAAACCAAACCAAACCCGTTGCCATCGAGTCGAGTCCGGCTCATAGCGACCCTATAGGACAGAGCAGAACTGCCCCCTGGGGTTTCCAAGAAGCGGTTGGTGGATTCAAACTGCTGACCTTTTGGTTAGCGGCCACAGTTCTTAACCACTACACCACCTGGGAAAGAACTACCCGTACATATAATAAATGAATGAATCTCAAAATAATTATGCTGAATAAAAGTAGCGGGGAGAAGAGGAGAAAGTACATACTGTCTGATACCGTTTACATAAGTTTCTAGCAAATGGAGACTCAGCTACAGTAGCAGAAAGCAGGCTGTTGGCTGCCGAGGGACAGTTGAGGGGGTGGTGAAGGATGGGAGGGGAATTACCGGGGGGCACAAGGAAGCTCTCGGGGACAATAAACATGTTCTTTATCTTGACTGTGTTGATGGTTCACAGATAAACACTCAGGCCAGAACTCACCCAACTGTGTACTTTAAATATGTGTAACTTACTGCATGTCAAACATACCTACATAAAGATGTGTAAGAAATATGAATGTTGCATGAATAGTAACGGTCGATTTTAGTTTACTTGGTTTTCCACAAGGACTCAAATACTTTAAAGATTTATTCTGCAAAAGAGAAGATTCTTCCTACACCAAAAAAAATAAAATAATTAACTTAGAGAACTCACCTGATGATAATGATGTGTGGTTTGTATCAAATGCATGTACATGTTGTATACAAAGTTCGCCATCTGGGGCATATTCTTTATCATCTGTACCTCGTGGGACGGTCTCTCTCCGTTCTAGACGAAGGTGGAAAGCAAGCACAGAGTGAGACACCCCAACAGCTAACATCCCACCCCAAGCCCAGGGCTCTATCTTAGGTGCGAACGCTGTTAGGGTTCGGAGGACGTGATAGTAAGAGGACAGAAGACGTAAGCGAGATGGGGGTCCGACAGGGACTTTGTGAGGAGGAGGGATACAGTTCCAGTTCAGAAAAGCTGGACCTAGGAGAGCAGAGAGTCTTCAGTTTTCAGCACAATTTCATGCTGGCAAACATAATACGGCTGCAGTCTATGCAGCTGTGTAGGAGAATTAATGAGAGGTAAGTAATCACTTGAACAGAGAGAGAAATGAACACAGTCTAAAGTAGTGGTCTCCAGCACTGTTTATGCCCCAAAGGGAACACACAAGACAATTCAGAACTATCCTGAACTATTCTTCCTGTTTATGCTTTCTAAAAAAGAAGAAGATTTACTATTATTTAATATATGGACTGTTAGTCTGGGGTGAATATTTAAGAGGTTTTTCTTTTTTCTTTTTTTACTAATAAGGCATCTGGTAAAAAATTGTTGGCAAATAGTAGTCTAAAGTGTCAACTTTGCGGTGTCCATCAGAAGACCTGAGGAGTTTGTTAAACCGCAGACGCTCTAGCCCCTAGAGATTCAGACGCCGTAGGTCTGGGGTAGAACGAGATCACTCGATGGCAGAGTTCTGACGATACGCACTGCTGTCAATACAGGCAAAATAAAAAAGCCTGCTGTCCGTGAGTCCATCCGACTCACAGCGCCCCTACCGGACAGAGCAGAACCGCCCCACAGGGTTTCCAAGGAGTGGCTGGTGGATTCCAACTGCCGACCTTTTGGTTGGCAGCCGTAGCGCCTGACCAATGCGCCACCAGGGCTCCATAGGCAAGACAGTAAACGAAAAAAAAACAAGATTTGTACTTCTTCCTAAACTACTCTAGAATAAAGATTATTTATTGACATTAAAATGTTTATAATGTCCCCCTCTTTATTACTTTAGGACTAACTCAGAAAACTTATTCCAAGAAAAAGGACTATACCTTAAAATGACACATCATTTAAAGCACATGAAGTTAGAAACAGTATATTAAATAGTAGCTTTCAGAATTAAGCAGAAGTTTGTACTGTGTGCATGCAGGTGTTCCTTTTGATAACGGTCACTTTCTGCAGTCCCTACAACTTCCGTGTGCAGAGAACACCATGCTATTATTAGGTCTTCAACTCTGAAATACTGCCCTGAAAACATACGAGGTTGTTTTCTTTTCTGGAGGATTTGCTGGGAGCTGCCTCTGGAGACTCAGTGCTAGTGGTTCAGCCTTCCACCTGCCCCAATCTCTAGGGCAGAGGGTGGGAAGGTCGGCCCTCAGCCCCCAGAGGCTTGAACCCACGAGTACTGGGGAAGCAGGAAGATGCCCGGGCTCTGCTATAAACCCTCCCAGGAACCAGCCTGTTTAACCCTCAGTCCACAAGAGACTGAGAACTTGAGAGCTTTCAGGTATGTGCAGACTCCAGAGCTGATGCTCCAGGTTTTCCAGGATCCCTCCCATCACTGTCCTTCCACCCTGTTCTCCCTATTCCCCCAGAGCAGCATTAAAAAGGGGAGGGGGGCAGTTAAAAATAAGTACTTAGCATTATTATAAAACACACACACACAATTTACTTTTCTGAAGGTGGCCGGGGGAAGAACTGTACTATGAACATTTCAGGACACGGTATTAACGGAGAAACGCAAAGTCGACAAGCACGCTACACGTCGTGCCAGAACGAAGAGATGTCAGAGAAGACGCAGTATCTGTGCTCCTCTGTGGCAAAAGGCCTACCAGAAGGATAAACCAGAAACAAAACAGACTGCGTACCTACGGGGGGCAGGCGTGGGAAAGCAGAAACAAGGGGTCAGAAACCGGGTAGCAGGTGAGGAGGGAGGGGCACGTCTCTGTCCTTCCCCTCCCCCACTCCCCGACTGGGAGCTTCTCGAGGTTCACCAAGTAGTTAGGTCGGGGCTCCCCACACAGCTACAGAGGGGCGGCCTAGTACAACGCTTATTCACCAGGACTCTGGAGTCAAACTGCTTGGATTTTCAGAAATCGGATCCTCCGCCTACGGCACGTGTGGCCGAGCTACTCAACTCTCTAAGCCTCGGTTCCCTGACACGTAAAGAGACGTTAATAAAAAAAACCTGTTTCCAAGATCAAACGGGATACCGTACATAAAATGCAAATCGCCTGATACATGCTGAGCACTCAAGAAATGTTAGCTGAAATTATTATTTTTAGATTAAAACATCTAATTGAGTTCCTTAGTGTAAGAAGTACTTCAAACCAGCGACCAGGCTATTTCTGTGGCGAAGTTACCTTGCGAGTAGCTGGGAAAGGCTCTGTGGGAATGATGTGCAGATGAAGCGGGCGCGCTGTGAGCTGGCTGAAGGCTGGCGTCAGTTCAAAGCAGTTCTGGAAGAGGGAGACTCGGGCAAAGACGTACAGTCCGAGCCTGGCTCTGGACATGGCCACCACCAGCCGACGGACGTCCCTTCAGAAGACAGACAAGGTGCTCACCAACACACTCAGGGCCAGGAACACATCTACTCACACAATTGTCCTTGTCTTCTTTTAACACACACCACTAAAGACTTCTGGTAAGCTATGGCAGTAAAAAACTAAAGCTTCTTAAAAACTTAATAAGCACAGAGGGAACACTGTTAATCGATGCTATGAGTCTGATAAATCAAGCAAAAAGCTAATGCTTTATTACTAACCTCTATGTTTGTTGGGGGGCGGGAATCACAAAATAACCAATATACCAATTAAAGGTCAGAGTAACTAAATCAATAGGATGGTACAGCTCTGCTTTCAATAATCAATGTACTTCACCATCACCATTGAATCAACTGAACGAGCCCTCCCTCCAAATTCCCAGGCTTCACTTACCAAAGTCTCAGGCTCCATCAAGGTCAAATTTTACATACTAGATAACACTTACCACACTGTTTATGTTTATGATAATAATTATACAGAACACACACATAAACATATACAATAATACCTTGCCTTATTCACGCATTTACCTTAGTACCTAGGCTCAAAGCTTTGCCCACAGCAGGCCTTCAATGTTCACATAAACAGTAATAAAAATGGCTGAACTGAAAGATCTGACTACGTATGTAGCTGGCTATCTGATGAGTGAGGTCAGTTCTCTTTAATCTATCTTTTAAAAAAGCTACAAGCTTTAAAAAAGGACTTGAAACAAATTTATAAAAGAGGGTCTATATTTGAAGTTTAATTTCACCCATTACGCAGAATGTGGTTTAGTGAGAAAAGATAATTTTGGTTTCAAATACAGAGAGCAGTTTTTTTTTCCCCTTGAGATGATTTTAGATGGCTACTGAAATTTGTGAGTACTCTACAAACGAGAAGACTTTCATGAAGAATCATAAAGTCTGATAAATCACTTTTAATCCCTGAAGGAAATGTTAAGAGTGTCGCAGAGACCTAAGGTTACAAAGACCACACGCTAACCAGACAGAGGACCCGTGCTGGGGGAGTGGTCTGCCTCTACATCTCCCACCTGGGCTGCGTAACAGAGGCCACAGGCCAAGAACGTTCTCTGACAAGGAGACTGGAAACTGGGTCATCCTCTCTCCAGTTCCCTCTTCTTGGAGAGGGTTTCTGCCTCTTCTGGACACACAGTAACTTCCTCTGTCTCTTGAACACATGCAAGCACTATATGGCACCTCGCCAACCCCATTTCTGTATCTGTTCCCGGTAGTGGGGAGGGAACAGGGTCTCTCCTGACTATGGCAGAAGAGGGGTGCACGCAGAATATCTGCCTTGCGTGGGTCTCACAGGTGAGGGCTGATCTCGTTGTCTCTGGTCTACGTGAGTAAAGCATTAGTACACACAAGTGGAGCATGAGTGAGTCTTCTGTTGGCGACCAGGAATTGGCATGTTTACCTGAGGACTTCTGTCTCTGTATAATGCAAGGTATTTAGGAATCTCTCTAATTCAGTCTTATTTTCTATGGTGTTTTATGGCCCTGACAGCAATCTTAGTCTCCCTTGCTGGGAGGTACTGTGTGACATCAGTACGTAGCATCAGTATGTACGTGGGGAGAGGGGACAGATACGCTCTCTGACACACACAATTGTGACATGTTCATTCAGGCAGAAAGAGTTTGGAGAAAACAAATCCCTGTGCAGTTTGTTTTCTCCACATTAGCGAGACACTGGATCCATAAAGGAAATACTATCTTCTAGGTTATCGTAAGCCAAATTGTTTTTTATTTTCTTTGCATTTCCTCAGAACCCAAAGGGGTCACACTACAGGTGGGTGGTTCTGACGCTGATAAATGGCTGTACAGTGCCAGAAATACGCAGCATGGATTCTTACACAAATACTATAAAGAAAATCATGGTTAAAACTTACTGCTGTCAGGGGAAAAAAGGGAGGGAGTGGAGAGAGGTGACCTAGACTGTCTGTTTCATGATAATCGCTGTATTTTCACATCCAGCTCTCCCCTTCAGATCCAGGGGGCGGTAATAACACGTCCTCTTGCAGGGGCAGATTAACCAGTAAGCACAGGATGCACCAGCTTACAGTCGGGGAGGTACGCACGGGCTTACTTGTGTTCACTTACTATAACGCACCATTTCACTTGGCCTTCACCACATCTGGGAAAACACAGGTGGTAAAGAACAGGTGAAACTGTGCACTACAGATGAGTAAGTAAGCACAATTACGCCCGCGCATACCTTGCTTATTGGGTAATCTGTCCCTTTCTTGAGCATGTATGGGGGATAGGCTGCTCTCATCTTCCACACTTTGCATAAACTTACGGCTCGCCTGCAAGAAGGAGAGACCACCTTAGCCTCTAAGAGAGAAACTCGGCGGGTGGAGGCCTCTTCCGCCAGGTGGTCATTAGAGATCACAACTTGGCACCGCTGTGCCCAAACACAGCCCACTGGGTGCTAGATACCCAGGCAAAGCAGATGCAGCGCTATTACAGTGGCGTCTCCATCCCTCTGAGAAACTTTTCCTGCCACACCTCAGTGCTGCAGTGCAGATTCAAACTGATGTTTTCAAGGGATGTTAATTACGTAAACCATAATGGCGGCCCATTTAGGCAGCAGTTACCAATCTTAATGTGGAAAAACAGCTTTTTAGAAAAGTCAGTCTCCAGATACATGCTCGAGACTCAAATAAATAAGCCAAAAAAACCGTATTTTATAATGCTAAGTCCTGAAACAATTTGTTGAAACAGTACATCTTTGCTTACTCTTACATAAAAGTTATCAGTCTAATGGAACCTGATCACTGGGTTAAACTCCAAATGGATCTTGACTTAAGAACAATGCTATAAAAGCTTGGAGAAATTTCTTTTTATAGCCACTAAATAAAATAATAAACTCTCCTTATAATTTTGCTAGCCAAGTCATATGAGACGAGTTTATATAAAACTAAACGGCTGCTCTGTAATAAGATGATACTATTCCCATAAATCTCTAGCACATAAATACATCACGACAAATGATAAAAATAGATTATCGTTTGTTTTGACAATTCTTAATCCTGGGAGAACAAATGGCTCCTTTATCCTTTAACCCTGAAGCTGAAAGGTTGTGTGGGGAGAAAAACTCAGAAACTCTATGCAATGAAAAATTTACTCCAGCAAGAGACTTTTTACCACTTTACCTCCTTTAATTTTTGACACTGAATTTCCAGCAGACATAGGATGGATATATTAAAATTTTATGATAGAATGCTATCTCTGCATGTTACTGAAGAGTGAAAACTACTAAATCACTTCAGAGACAAAAGATTCAGTAGCAATGACAATGGTTAACCATACAAGGAATCTGATCTTCTTACATTCTAACAGAAAACACCAGAAGTTGTCATAACAATTATCATTTAAATAAAAAAAAATTAAATCTACTTGGCCACAGAAACTCAAAACTGAAGTAGGGAGTAAAGCTCAATAGTATGATGAACATTTTTTCTTACATACCTCAAGTGGCCCACTGCCCTGGTTCGAACTAGAGAAAGAAGAATATAATCATTCTGTTGACCTTGGAATCTGTCAACAGTTGTCACCTAGGAAGAAGAAAAGGGAAATGTGGTTTATTTTCAAAAACACAATTAAAAAACTCCAGAGACCATTTAAATAATATGCTAACAAATATCCTGTCCTTAAGATAACCAAACCAAAAAATATCACCAAATACTTGGAATTGAGAGAGCAAATAAAGTTAATGAATACTACTGAAATAAAACAGAGTGACCACACTAGACTATGTCCCTGTGTTATTCACACCTACAGCTCTTTTCTCTACATCTGCTGACCATAATTCCGATTAAATAATTATTTATGGAATTAATAATTTCCCCCCACTAGACTGTCACACTCCATGAAAGCAGGGACCACGTCTAGCTTGTTAACTGTCATCTCGGTTTGATGTCCAGCAATATATTTTAGTATGTTCATTTATTAACTAACGTATCTCTAAGACTCACCTATAGCAAGCATTCTTCTGTCAAAAAAGAATTATTTTTCATAGTACTTTTATTGAGTTTGAAAAGATATGTATAATAGGAAAGTTCAGGAAGGTTTCCAAATCTCTGATATTAGCACTCATGTATTTCTCTCTTTTTCATTAGTTCAATAAACCATTAAGTCATGGGCCCTACCTTTAGGAAGTTTCTAAAACTTTTCTTTTTAAATAAACTTCATTTAGGTATAAGTTATATACAATAAAATGCACCCATTTTAATTGTTTGTATAATTTGGTGAATTTTGACAGTATATAAAACACCCGTTGCCCTTGAGTCGATTCCTACTCATAGTGACCCTATCTAACCACCAGCACAATCAAGATTTCCAAACATCCTGAAAGAATTCCCATAATGCAGTCCAATCCTCCATCCCTCCTATCCCCAGTCCCATGCAATCACTTCCTTCCTTTCTGTCACTATAGGTTATTTTTTGCCGGTTCTAGAATTCCACAAAATGGGATCATAAGATACAAACTCTTTTGTGGCAGGCTTCTTTCACTCAGCAGAACATTTCTGAGATTCACCATGTGTTGTGTGCGTTATGCCTTTTTATTGCTGAGCGGTATTTCTTGAATGAATATACCACAATTTGTTTACCCATTCACCTATTCATGGACGTTTGAGTTGTTGCTAGTTTAGCACTATTTTTGACTAAAGCTGTAATGAATATTCACATACAAATATTTTTGTGGACATATGTTTTCATTTCTAGGAATGAAGTTGCTAAGTTAAATGGCTAAGTGTATGTCTAACTTTATAAGAAATTGTCAAACTGTTCTCCAAAGTTCTACACCACTTTATACATTCACCAGCCAATGTTCCAGTTCCACAGTTCCATTTCTTCCACGTTCTTGCCAACATTTAGTGTACTGTCAATCTTCTTAATTTTAGTCATTCTATTGAGTGTGTAGGTCCCTGAGTAGTACAAACAGTTGTACTCGACTACTAACTGAAAGGTTGGTGGTTCGAATCCACCCAGCAGCACAGTGGACAGAAGGCCTGGCGACTGCTTCTGTAAAGATCGCAGCCAAGAAAACCCTGTGGAGCTCAGTTGTACTCTGTAACACACGGGGTATCCATGAGTCAGAACCGACTCGACAGCAAGAGTTTTTTCTTTTTAACTGAGTGTGTAGAGGTATCTCGTGTGGTTTTAATTTGGATTTTCCTGACAACTAATGATGATACACGTGTTTTCAGGTGCTTATTGGCCATTCACAAGTCTTCTTTTGTGAAGTAGCTGTTCAAATCATTTGCTAATTTTATACTAGGTTGTCTTAGTTAACAATGACTTTTATTGGATTTCATATGTTCTGGATATAAGTCCTTTGTTGTTACGTGTAGATGTTACACTTGAAGATTCTGTTGCCATCCTGACCGTGAAGAAAGCTTGCCTGAGAAATGGGCTGGATACGGAGAACGGCAGAGCAGAAGGACGAAATAAATCTGGGTCCCTGGTGACATCTGATAAAGAGTATTAAAATTTAAGGCATATGGCAGAATTAAGGGCTCTAGCTAAATTGTGAACCAAACTTACCCCATTTTAAATTTCTAAATGAAGCTTCCATCTTATAATGCAGCCTGTCACTTCTGTAAAATTCGCACTGTACCTCTGCCCAGAAACAAGCAATTCTACAAAAAATGTGGCTTTGCCCACCCTATTCTGCTTGTCCAAAAGTTCTAAGAAGATAAGCTTGGTTGGAAATAGCCAATGTAAAGAGAAGATTATTCAGCTAGCACAGGTGTTAAACATGTGACCTTCGCTGTAATACCCATTCTTCTAAGAAGATATCCTCCTTAAGCCCCTTTAATCATACTGGTAATTTTCCAAATCTTTGTTTTAACATAGCTTTTCTGTATCAAAACTTTTTCTTCCTCCCCTTGAGCATAAGAATACTTAGCATTTTCACTTGTGATCGTTTTATTCTTTTAGTAAACTCTTTGCTTTCATATTTTAACAGAGTCTTCCAGTATAATGCAGATCTAACTCTCCACGGCAACGGGTTTCTTTATATACATTATGGTGAGTTCTGCAGTGTCTATTCCTCCTTGTACTCCTTCCAACTTTGTCTTCATTGCTATGGTTTTGTTTCATTTTCTTCCAGTTCATCTTTCATCTCTTCCTAAGTTCATGCATTTCTGCTTTGTAGCCTTCCCTCTGAGCAATGGTTACTTCATTAGGTATTCAAAAATTCATAGCAAAATGCATATTCACAATTTTCATCTGTTCCAGGCCAACATGCATATTGTTTACTAGTGTGTTTTGATGCTTTCGTTTTTTTCCTATATAAATAGTCTTGTGCTAGTTCTCATTTATTATTCATCACTGAATAAGTTAGCTTTTTATATCAGCTATTTACAAGAGGTTAGGTGGGGGTGAGCAGGGCTGTTTTCTAAAGACTGAATAGTTTTCCCAACCAAAGGAGCTCCTTTCCTCTGCTGGTGTAGAGAAAGTCTATTTTGGCCAATATAGCTCATCTGCAGGCTTTTTTGAACCAATCTGGGACCAGGAGAGCTTCTGCTCACTACACATCCCACAGTCACTGTTGAATAACAAGAAGGTGGCATCTTTATTTCAGAGTATGCCTCTCGCCTTCAAGACTAGACCTCTCGCTTCTCTTCCCCCCGTGTTTTCTGCCTGATCTTACTCACCTGATCTGGGGCATCTCACTAAACATGAAGCTTGTTGCCCTTCTCCTCCCATTTTCCTTTGCTGCTTTTGGACAATTTCCAAGAAAAGGTGAAAGAGCTGACTTATACAGCCATGTACACAAGTCCTAATTTTATCATTAATAATACTGCAACGGAAGTGAGGCCAAGATGGAGGAATAGTCAGACTCTTCCTGTCTTCTTACAACAAGGACCCCAAAAAAACAAGTGAATTGATTATACATGACAATCTAGGAGCCCTGAACATCAAAGGCAAAGTTGAGGAATCAGACTGAGTGGCAGGGGGAGGGAGAGACAGTTCAGAAGCAGCGAGGAGTTGCCAGATATGACACGACGGGAAGCCGGCACCCTGCGGGCCAGATCGGCTGGCATGCGCGGTGAGGCGGGCGGTGGCATTCGGGATGCGTTTTCCACGTTAAAGAGACCGGGTGGCAGAGAGCTGGCTCAGGTCTCCAGAGCCAGTGAAAAGCGGCACCCAATCAGCAAAAGATAAGTACATGTGTCTGACCTACCATGTGGATCAAAAAACACTCCGTTTGAGAAGAACCTCTCCCCCATTTGCCTGCTCCCTCCCTGCTCTGCACCTGGTCTTGGGCCGGCTTCAGCCACTGCTGCTTCCCCTGGGACAGAAGTAGGACCTGCCATGCGCTCTGAGCCATTTTCCCAGTGCTGGAGAGCAAATAAGAAACAATTATCTGCCAGCTCCCCTAAGCTGGGAACTCAGGGTAGGCACAGCTACTTTGCCTAGGCACAGCCACAAGGGATCCATGGACTTTGAATGCCTTTCACCCCTGCATAGACCTGTGTGGGCCCATTTCAGCAGTGTAGGCCCTCATTAGCACAGTACAACAGGGTAGATACCTGAAGCCTAACTTCAACTATATCAGCTATATGGTGGAGTGGCAGGTTCGTGACATTTGATACTGCTGTGCCCATTAAGCAGGGTCCTCACCTACCAACATTGGGGGCCTGAGGACTGGTGGCTCCACCCATGGCACCTAGCCACCCACGACAGGGCTCCAAGAATAAGTGGTGCCTCCCAGTCCTTACAGCCAACAGCACTGAGTGCCCACAGTCCAGCTGCAAAACCCACTCACCTACGCGCTCTAGGTAACAGGGACATGCTTTCCTCCCAGACACTCAGGGGCAGCCGTCAGCCCCCTGCCTTGCTCAGTGCGTGACCCCTTAATGCTGTCAGATACTTGTGCCTACTCCAATCACCCCTGCCCGCCTAGGACTGTAGGTGACAGCCTGCACCACACACTTGGTGACCGACCATCTGGACACCTGAGCTGAATCCATACAAGAAAACTAAACAGACTCCTGGGCTCACATACCTAGTAACAGATCTAACCACCTGGTGACAGGACGTTAGAGCTTCAAAGGTGCCAATAATCAAACTAGTTCACACGAGCAGACTATTTGGGCATATCAAAACAAAACAAAACAAGAAGCTACGACACAGTAAGCAAACATAAATTAAATAAATATAACAACTTATCGATGGCTCGGTGACAAAAGTCAATATTAAATCACAAAATGGCAGATGATGATGGCTTCAGCAAGCTACCAAAACAAATATTCAAGAAATCTTCCGGAGGAAGAGAACTTCTTGGAATTACTGGAGGTAGAATACAAACGATTAATATACAGAACTCTTTAAGACATCAGGAAGGATATCATGCAAAATACAGAACAAGCCAAGTAACACAAAGCAATAGAGGAACTTAAGAAGATTATACAAGAGCACACTGACAAATTTAACAGGCTGCAAGAATCCATAAAGAGACAGCAATTAGAAATCCAGAAGATTAACAATAAAATTTCAGAATTAGACAACTCAATAGAAAGTCATAGGAGCAGAATTGAGGCAA